GTTATTAATTAAATAATACTTAATGTTCTTATTATTTTTCCTATATATCTAATCAAAGTATAACTATCACTATTATTAATAAATCAATTAAATCAGTTAATTCAATTATTTAACAATCAACTACAACATTCAATTTTCCTTTCCCCAGTATACATATTTATAAACATTATAAAGAGAGATTGAAAAAGGAGAGATAGTTCATCATAGTGCCGGAGAGTGGGGGAATAAAGAAAAATGAGCAGATGTATACAGGAAAAAGGGAGTAAAGAAGGGGAAAAAGGAGTTTTAAAGTAAATTTTTAGCTTTCCGTCTCTAAGTTTTAAGAGCTTACACTGCAAACGCACCGGAAGTGGGGAGGTAAGAAATGCTGAGTAGTGACTGTAATTACACGGTATCCCACACATTCGGAAGCTTCCACTTTTACTTTTCGTCTTAGCGTTCCTAAGTTCAATTTTCCTGATTTTCTTCCAATGGAACCACCTCCTCAGTTAAATCAGTATACTCCCTGAAGGGCAGTTAAGTGGTTTACATCAGTTATATTGTTACAATAACTTCAGGATTTCTAAGTATCGCCTGTGGCGCCACACTGTCTCTATTCTGCCGGCTCCGATCTTCTTCCTGTCTCCGATTTAATAAAGACTTCTGGTGATAAGGCAAGGATGAACAGAGGTGCAGAAGCCTGCCCGTGGTTTCAGTTAATCTCTTTTTGTGGTTGGTGCGATCCTTTGAGGGTGCATGAGTCCCGGAGAGATTTGTGCCGGTGTGGGGGAGACTCAAGCTGCAGTGTGGGGAAGGCAACCCCCCTGCAGCGAAGAGGAGCCTTCCAGAGCCCAACAAGCAAGAAACAGCCACCTATCAATGGTGGCTCCGAAGTCCGGACTGCCACTGATGTAAAGAAGTGAGTGAGTGACAGTTTGTGGGATCATTGGTGAAGAGTGTGGCAGATGATTGGAATGCTATAGACTTTTATAAGGCTGCTACAAGTGTCTGTCCGGAGCCCTAAAAGGAAGCGGCCAAAAAGCGGATGCAAGGCAAGTGAAAGTGAAGGGGCTTGGCAGACAGAAGAAAGAAGACAAGAATGAGTAAAAAGGGAAGCTTACGAGGTTGGGAGATATACCACACTGATATTAATAGAAGGGAATCTAGCGGCTGGAAGGTGACTGGAAGGTGTGGGGGATTTGGGCTATTTCATTCGATTTTTATGCCCAAATCATTTCTAGTAGTGATTTGTAGCTTTTCCAAGGACAACTTTGTAATTTATTTGATTCTATTATCTTTCTTATCCGTTGTCTTTCCTTTTTTTATTTCCCTCATTCTCACCAAACATAGTCCTTTCCTCTAATCCATTGTCCACTCATACCAAAGTATGTTATTTTTACTTGCTCCTTATTGCCTTAAGGAAATAGTCAGTTTTATTTGGTCTGAGTTTAGTTGATTGATTGGTTCTTCTTGCAGACCATTGTTTTCTCAGTAACATTTGGCTGCAGAGTCATAATTCAAAGGCATCTCCATGCTTCCTCTCACTCTTTTTCAATATTCAGCTTCCACACAAATATATTTATTTATTTATTTGATTTATATTGCTGCCTATTCGCCCATGGCGACTCAAAGCGGCTTACACACTGTAAAATAATATTTAAAACAAAAAATAAAAATAAAAACAATAAGAACTAACAAAAAGAATCAAATAAATTAGTAAAGTACAATAGAACAAAATTTGGGAAAACAAAACAACAAAACAAAACAAAAACAAAAACCAACTCCCAACCCCCACTCTGACGACAGTGGATCACACTAGCCAATTGATGGGTTCCATCCCTCTCTGGGTTTCCCAGGCCCACTGGCAAAACCAGGTCTTCAGTGCCTTTCAGAATAGTATTAATGAGGGGGCCATTCTAATCTCTGGGGGAATGATGTTCCAGAGAGACGGAGCCACCACAGAGAAGGCCGTTCTTCTAGGTCCCACCAGGTGTATCTCCCTCAGGGGTGGGACCCGCAGCATTCCCTGCCTCTTTTCTCTAATGGGTTGGGTAGATGTCACTGGCAAGAGATGTTTCATCAGATAACCCGGGCCCAAGCCATGAAGGCTTTAAAGGTGACAACCAGAACCTTGAATTGCATCCAGAAGCAAATTGACAACCAATGGGGCTCCTGCAGGAGAGGTAATACATGTGCACACCGGGGTCTGCATAAAACCATGCAGGCCATTGCATTTTGCACCAAGTGGAGCTTCTGGATGCTCTTCAAGGGCAGCCCCATGTAGAGCACATTGCAATAATCAAGATGGGAAGTGACCAGGGCATGAGTGACTGTGAGTAGGGACCACTGATCCAGGAAAGGACGTAACTGGTGCACAACCCGCAGTTGCGCAAAGGCCCTCCTAGCCACGACCACCACCTGCTCTTCAAACAGGAATCGTGAGTCCAGGAAAAACCCCAGATTACACACAGGGTCTGTTTGGGGTAGTGCCACCCCATCCAAGACTAAAGGTGGTAATTCTCCCTGAACCCCAGAGCCAGAGCCACTCGGTCTTGCAAGGGTTTAGTTTCAACCCATTGCTCCCCATCCAGCCCCTAATAGCCTCCACGCACTGCAAGAGGGAGGATACAGCAACACTTAACTCACCACAGGCCGATACATACAGCTGAGTATCATCAGCATATTGGTGATACTTCAGTCCATGGTGATGGATGATCTCACCCAGCGGTTTCATATAAATGTTGAACAAGAGCAGAGAAAGTACCGAGTCCTGCAGAACCTCGTAAAGTAGTGGGTGAGGGTTGGATCTCTCCTCTCCTATCAACACTGTTTGAGAGCGGCCGCAGAGGAAGTGAACCAAGACAGTACAAGGTCTCCCACTCCCATCCCCTGAAGCCGTCCCAGGAGAATCCCATGGTCAATGGTATCAAAAGCTGCTGAGAGGTCAAGTAGAGCAAGGATGGATGCACTACCCCCATCCCACTCCTGCCAGAGATCATCTAAAAGTGCAACCAATGCTGGGCCTGGGCATGCTTTACCACCTCTACTTGGCCTTTCTTAATGGCGGCTTCTCCTTCAGGCTGGCTGAACAGTGGCAGAGTTGCCACCCAGGAGCTGCCAGGGGTAGAGATCCCCGATGATGCGCTTCCTTCATCAGGGCTGCTCAGCGGGGAGATCTGAGCCCTCCCTTCCCCTGAGAGGCAGCAGCTTCAGAACAGTTTGGGGGCAATGCCTGACTCAACTCCTTCAGATGGAGCCTCTGAAACTACAGTTCCTTCCCTAGACTGAAGGCAGCCTTCTGTCTTGCGCGCGCACGCGCACGCACACACACACACACACCACATCTCCATTCCAAACTGAGGATTGCAACCAAATTCCCTGCTCATCCGGTGTTCCTGAAAGGCTCAGCTTGGCCATGGCACCTGGTAAGTGAGTGGGTGGCTTGGGGGTAGCGGGGCTTCCCTCCACACAAGTGGGAGAGTCATCAGGGCATTGTCTGACAGGGTGCCCAGGGCTCAAAGGCCTTCTTCCTCCAGCCTTGGGGCAGGCACTGTTTCCTACCCCTCCACCTGCCACGCTTTGGAGAAGCTCAGCTGGGCGCCACCTGTTGATTCTGGTAGTGGGTGGGAAGTGCCACTCCCTCCCCCGCTTCCTTCCAAGCCTGCTGGTGAAGCACCCCTCTTGTGCACCCAATGCACCTCGGCACTGCTGTGGGCCACTGAGGTCAGGTGCATGAGGGGAACATGCTCCACGTACAGGCCAATGTCAAGATCCACAAGGGAGCCAAGGAAAAGATGACCAGCAGTAACCTGCTCTCTAACCCAAGCCAAAAAAGACAGTGGGACTGAGTAAGCGCATCCAGCGTTCCGCATCGTGTTCCTCCCCCCGCCTCCACTTGCTGCCTCTACTTACTTGGACAGCCAGCCTGGTGATGGCAGTGGGGTCCAGAGCTGCAGCGTGCACCAGCTGAGGGGCAGGCAGTTTGCATCTACAGCTGGAACCCCCCCCCCCCCCCCCCGCACACAAAGGACAGAGAAAGCATTGTGGCTGATGGGTTTCTGGCTGTAGATGCCCTGCCCCCTGCCTCACCTCACCTCATCCTGCAGGACAAGCCTCCCACCCACTATCCCACCCACCAGAGACCCCTGGATTCCCTCCTGAACCCCGCCTGGCCTCCACAGGCATCATCCACATGAGCAACAACAAGCAGGCCACCCCCAGTCAGTCACAACCATCCCAGCCATGCCCCTCCCCCCAGCCCCCGGAGGACAACCACTATTCTGATCCAACCCACAGTGACATTGAGTTTGATACCCCTGCTCTAATCAGACTTGTTTTGCAGAAGTGTGGCATCCCATGTTCAGTTATAGGAACTTCTGATTCAGTTCTTGTTTTCTGTTGGGAGAGAAGGGAATGTTAACATTTGAGTGTGAAAACTATTGCCAGTCAAGTTGGCTAGTTGCCTAGGCAAGTAAACATGTCAATTATATTAAAAATAGCCAGCATTTATGAAGAAGATACTGTGATATGCCCCTTCCCATTTCCATATATATAAATAATTTTTAATTATAAATAAATTTTAATTTATAATTAAAGAATTTATAATTATTTAATTATAAAGAATTATATATTCTTTCTTCAGTGTTAGGATGTAAGATACCTATTCTTTCTATTTAATAAAAAATATAAAACTATTATTAATGGAGTCCCTGAAAATTTTTCTCCACTAAGTCATTTCCAATTATAGGGGGCAGTGCTCATATCTGTTTCAAGGCCTATGAGCCAGCTCTATCCAAAGACATTTCCGCTGTAATGTGGCCAGTATGACATCAAAAAGCATTATTAATTATGATAAAATATAATTGCAGAAAATTTAACCAGGCTGTCATAATATGCTGCCCTTCAGATATATACTGAAAGTAATGGAATTAGCTGATGAAGGCTTGTTTAAGTATTTATTATAATGTGGTTTATACACTATTTGGAAGAATACTAACTATATGTGTTTTTATCAGCCATCACAAGAGAGTGTTTGACACTGTACGAAACATCAATCAGATAGTAAAGCAGAGGTCCCTAACTCCATCTCCAACGAATATCCCAGGATCTAACCAGTCCTCCACAGTGAATTCAGTCATTTCTAGCTGTGTCAGCACACCATGATCCAGTTTCTATGGTGGAGACGTTTCCAATATTGAGCTAGACAATAAGACAAACAGTATCATCCTAGAAACTGAATCTACTGACTCTAGGTTAGTAATACTAATTTTTAACTGTATCTTCTTATGAAAAAAACAGTTTCATCCTAATGATTTCCTTCCATTTTCTTCACATTCTGCTATTATATAGCATCCATTGGTTAGATCAGTTCACTAGACCAGTGGTCGCCAACTGGTGGGCCGTGGCCCACTGGTGGGCCGTAAGAAAATTTTGGTGGGCCCCAGAGAAATCTGACCCCCAGAGCACTCCCCCAAAGCAATTAATCCAGAAACACAAGGCTGCGCTGTCCACATGGCCCACAGGAACGTTCCCCGCCCACTCACTCCTTACCCAGCAAACTTGCCTACTAAATTGCTATTTTTCTTTTTTCCGACCATCATCTGTTCTGCTGTGCCAAGAGATTTAGATCAGCTAGGAAGCAGGAAATGGTTGGATTTCTTGCTTTCTAGCTAGTCTTTAGATCTTCGGCTCTGCTTTTAAGCATAGCCGAACCTCCCTTAGGACTGTGCAGACTCACAGCAAGCAAATTTGAGAGACTGAGCTAGCCGATGGCAGATAGATAGATCACTGAATGATTCTGTGAGCAACTCAATCTGCCTGCCTGCTTTGCCTGATTTTGGGTAAAAGTTGCTCTTTTTTTAAATAAAAAATTCAATATTTACATACATGGTGTGTTGTGAGTTAATTTTGTGAGTTTGCTTGCAAGCAAATTTTATGTGACAGACTGAGCTAGCCAATGGCAGATAGATTTCTGAATGAATCTGTGATTCTGTGAGCGACTCAATCTACCTGCCTGCTTTGCCTGATTTTGGGTAAAAGTTGCTATTTTTTAATAAAAAAATTCAATATTTATATAAATATTTAAAATATTTACATACAAGTGTGGCTTTTTGCTGCCCACACCCTGGCGATGGCAGGGTCTGAGTTCAGAGCCCTGGGCCTCTCATTGTAGATAAATAAACACACGGACACAATGTTTACTCGGGATGAAGGCACTGAACAAAGGCAGGTACCTCCTTTTATTAGGTTGCTTGCAAGCGTCATAGCAGGAACAAGGAAATTTTCCTTATAAGGTAATCTACATAATTATGCTAATGCAAAAACTATACCATTGCTGGGGTCTTATCACCTCCGCTCTTAGCCCTGCCCAATTACTTTCTTTTCCCATAACTTTCGTTTCTCTTACTTTCTTTTCCCATAACTTTCGTTTCTCCAGCAAGTATTTTTCCACACAGTCAGCACTTTACCACATAGCAACATCAAACTGTCCATCTACAAGGTTGACCATTGCAACTTTTAGCATCCATTTATTGTAACAGTTGTACATTGCAACATACAAGCCCAGCCAATCACATCATTACCAAGCTACACCCACAAATTAGGCCATGCCCACAGAACCGGTTAGTGGTCCCTGGGATTTAAAATTATGAATTTGGTGGTCCCTGTAGTCCAAAAGGTTGGCGACCCCTGCACTAGACAACATTATCTCTATATTTAGAAGAAATTAATTTTAATTCAAGCTATTCTTATCTTTTTTCATATTGTTGTAATTTAAAATAATTATGTTTATTTTAAATTATCAGAGACTTTAAAAATGTAAACCTATTTTCTTCCTTAACAAATCATCAGAGTAATGTATTCCAAGCAAATTATTTTATTTGCTGATATAAAATTACCTTTGAATAATTAAAATTTAATTTCATTCAAGTAATTAATTTATAATTAACAACCACACTGCATTTTTCTAGAATGATGATTTTTTGAAACAGTTTGTGGATTTGGAATTTTCCTGAGCCATTAAATTATAACTACCATAGTGATTTTATTGTCAGTTAAACAAAGCATCATATTTTAAGTACTGCTTAATTAATCAAGGAAGTAACAGGCAGTAGGAAGAAAGCAGAGCTGCTTAACTCATTCTTTGCATTCTTTGCTTTTGCAGTCTTCATGCAAAAAGAAATTATAGCCCAACATATCAAAAAAACTACTGTAAAAAAACAAACCAGAAATAAAAATTAAAATAAGCAAGAAAATGGTAAGAGAACATCTATCTGACCTTGATGAATATAAATCACCAGGACCTGGTAGATTATATCCCAGAATTCTGAAGAAGCTGGCAGATGTTATCTCAGAACCACTGTATCAAATCTTTCAAAAATCCTGGAGCAAAGGGGAAGTACCTGAAGATTGGGAAAGGGATGATATGGTTCCCATCTTCAAGAAAGGTGGGGGGAACAGACCCAGGAAATTACAAACCAATCAATCTAACATCAATGGATGATCATTTGAATATGAGCCAGCAATGTGGAGCAACAGCCAAAAAAGCCAAAACAATCCTGGGTTGTATAAACAAAGGTATAGAATCAAGATCACATGGAATATTAGTGCTGCTTTACAAAACCCTAGTAAAACCACACCTGGAATACTGCAACCAATTGCGATCACCACACAATAAAAAAAGATGTGGAGATTTTGGAAAAAGTTCACAGAAGAGCAACTAAGATGATCAAAGGCCTGGAGTATGGCTGCATATTTTGAGTTTGGCTAGTCTAAAGAAAAGAAGAATTAGAGGTGACATGATAGCAGTATTTCAGTATTTGAGGGGCTTCCACAAAGGGGTCAAATTATTCTCTAAAGCACCAGTGGGCAGGACAAGAAATAATGGCTGGAAACTGATCAAAGAGACAAGCAGCCTGCAATTAAGGAGAAACTTCCTAACAGTAAGGACAATTAACCACTGGAACAGCTTGCCTTCAGAAATTGTGGGCACTCCATCACTGAAAGTTTTTAAAAAGAGACTAGACAGTCACTTCTCTGAAATAGTATAGGTTCTCCTGCTTGAGCAGGGGGCTGGACTAGAAGACCTCCAAGGTCCCTTTCAGTTCTATTCTAAATTCTAAAATTAATCTGACATATGCAGTATCTACCGTATTTGCCGGCGTATAAGACGACTTTTTTGCCCCGAAAAACATGCCTCCAAGTGGGGGGGTCGTCTTATACGCCGGTATATCCACTGCCGGCTTTCGGATGCTTGTTGGACGCAGCGAAGGCGCCTCTGGCTTCCCGGATCCCCTGCGTCGCTTCCGCTTCATCCCGCTCGCCTCGCTCCGCCCGAGGCTGCAGCCTTCCTGCTCTTCCCACGGCCCCTGGCACTCCGCCCTGCCGCTGCAGCCCTGGGGATTTCTGGAGGGCGTTTCTGGTGGTGGTGGGGGGTCGTCTTATACGCCGGGTCGTCTTATACGCCGGCAAATACGGTAAACTGATTTTTTTTCCTAAAGAAAATATGACCACCTTTTTAAAAATAAATACCATGATATTTTAACTAAAATAGATGCTTTCGGGTTGACAATTTCTTTTTCACAAATTACTACATAAGCTCTCATTATTTCTGTTATTAGAGAGAATTAAGGAAAAAACATTATAGGTGACACTGAAGATTACAGAAAATAATAATTTACCATTTATGGTTGTAGTGCAGACCTGCACAAATTATCAGGAGAAAGGGCCATGCTGATAATTTAAAAATCCTCATAGACTGCAAATACTAGAAGTATGTGCCAGTCAGCTATTTTTTGGCTAGCAGAATGGCAGAAGCTCTGTAACTGGCAGCAGTGGCTCAAAATTTGCTACTTTTAAAAAAAATATGGGCATAAAGCTACTTGGAGGGCCACATATTATGTAGGCCAGTTCTTATGTATACAATACTGCATGTATTAAAGCTTTCTATATTTATTAAATCAGCTATATTTCTCTTCCATGGTACATACTAGTTTTTTTTTAAATGAGCAGCATGTATATAATACATTAACCTCAGTAAGATAAAGAACATTCCTGTTTTCATCTATACCCCTACTAATCTATCTAGCTATTTCTCAAATTGAAAGTGTACTTTCTATTGATTGAACTGAAAATTTTAAATATTAATTTATTTTTTGTTTTTTTTTCCTTACTTTATTCTTGTCACCTATATTAATGTGTGATTGCTCTTTATTTTAGAGATGAAGAGAAGAACAAGAAACCAGGAACACCACGTTCTTATGACCTGGAAAAAGCCCTTCGAAGGTTGTCCCTTTGAAGGGAGAATTACCTGTCAGAAAGGAGGTTTTTTGAAGAAGAACAGGAAAGAAAGTTGAGAGAATTGGCAGAGAAGGGGGAGCTTCATAGTGGTTCCATTACTCCAACAGAGAGTATTATGTCATTTAGAACACACTCCGGGTTTTCTGAATTTACTGGCTATTCAGGAATATCTGTCAGCAGTCGTTCATACCTCCCAGAGAAGCTTCAGATTGTGAAGCCCTTAGAAGGTGATAATAAAGCTTCTCAGCATTTATCTATTCTCCTTTGTGACTATTTGTGGTCTCTTCTCCATCAGCAAGAAAGAGGAAATCTTTGTAATACATACTCATTTTACTTTAGAGGTAGCCGTCCTCATTGTTGGTTTGAACTCTTCTGAGGACAGGAATTATCCTTTAAAATAAAAAAGTAACGTATGCTATGTTTCTAATATATTCAGTAGAATATTTATAGTTTTTAGGGATTCATCTTGATTTTCCTGTATTAAATTAGATATTCCTATGTCATTCAGATTGTAAACCTAAGTTTCATTGATATGAAGAACAATGATATGGTAACGCATTGAATTTCAACATTATAGGTTTACTGACTTTCATGCACTTTGTGCAAACTAAAACACTTGCTACATTGCAGTGTTACAGTCTGAAAGTGGTCCTTAATTTGTTGTAACAAATTCAAGGTAGCATTTCCTTCAAAAGCTCAAGTTGCTTTGCTTTGTTCTGGCAGGCCACATGCTTCATCAGAAATAGGCCACCATGAAGCCCATGTACTTTTTTTGGTATTAGGATATTATTTCAAATGGATGCTTTTCTTTCATCATCTGAATAAAAAAAATCTATAAGTAGTAATACCTACCTACTTATATTATTCCAAAACAACACAGCATTTCATTGATTAAAGTGTAAGATTATGATAACATACATTCTCTTCTTCAAAAGAATTGACCTATGCATAAAAATGTTATAATAAATGTCACCCAAATGATTAGTTTTGGGTTTTGGGTTACATTTTTGGAGTTTATAATATGAATCTAACAAATCAACTTTTTCTTTTTATCTATAAGCTATTTTATTTTTTGGGAATTTGCATCAAAATGGGAAGATTCACCCCAACACAACTGAACCAATATAAATGTTTGGCTTTTACAGAGTGCTTATTGAACAAATTAAAATATTTTAGAGAAGATAATCAACTTTTGTCTATTGATTATTAGTATTGTATAGGTTTCTTTCATCCAGTTTGTTTTCTTCAATAAACTTTCAGTCTCCATTTTCTCTGTTTCTCCTGATTTTTCACTTTAGCTTTTTCTTTGTGTATGAAAATTTTTCTTGCATTTTGTGTTATTCACCATCTTTAAAATTTAGCATGTATCCTTTATGCACGAGATAATTTCAAAATCCTTATATATTTTGAAATAATATTTAATTTAAATAATTGAAATTTGGAAGCTAACTTGGGGCATAGATACAGTACATGTATTTCTATCTGCTATCTAGCTATTCTCTATTCTCTATTTTTCACTTTACTTGTTTTGTTAAAAATATATAATTCAAATGCCCATAATTTCATTACAACATTTTATTAAACCTCCAATTATTATAGATTAATAATAGCAGTTAATTTAGAGATGCTTATTATATATTATTATACTATTTAATTATTTAATTAATAATGGAAATGAAGTTATTTGTTACGTATTAAGAATAAAAGAGAGGAGGAGAGCGGAATAATACACACACACACACAAAATATGTGTTAGATTGTCCAGTAGTATGAACAGAGAAACATATCGTGTCCTGTCCCATCCTATCCTATCCTCTCCTAGCTTACATTTTAGGTTATATCTTTGCATAATGGGTCCTGGTAGACCTCTGCTTCTGTGGATCCGGTGCTTAGTGCTTGTTTTTGTACTACTATGAACAATGCCTCAGTGTTGTCTTTAGTCTGGAGTGAGCAAAAGGCAAGTACTAGACTTTTTTTGTTTTTGGTAAAATCAGAATGGGAGGTAGGCACAATTCATAAGATTATTCCATATTATTCTTGGTCTAGTGATCAGACCAGGATCCTGGGATTTTTAATACTCCCTTAGGCATGAAATGACTTTGGGCAATCTGTCTCAGCCACATCCACTTCAGAAGGTTGTTTTTGTAGGAAAAAAAATGGAGGAAAGAGTATTAGGTATGTTCACTATCTTGAATTTTTTTTAAAAAGGTGGAATGTTTTTAAAAGGGCAAAACTCACATTTTTATTGTATTGTTTAATTGCTAGAAATGATGCTGTTACCCCCTCTGTCCATCTTAGCTATCTAAGCTAGCCTAGAAGTTAAGGAATAGAACTTTTCAATGTTCTTTCTCATCCCCTTTCCTGTCTACATTAAAATGGCGGAAATAACACTGAGTTTTTTTAACTCAGTTGAATTTAAAAAAATTTTTATACAAGTCCATGTTCTTTGGATGGACAATTAGTCAAAATCTTTCTATGTAGGGTTGACAGTAGTTTTTTATTACATTGAAGTAAATTGGATTTATTTCTTAGTCAACATATCAAAGTCAGTGATTGAGATGGTCGCCATGTAATTAAACAAGCAAACAAATAAATAATGCATTGTGAATTTGGTCTGGGGGACCAAGTTTATGCCTTCAAGTCAGTCTTGCCTCCTGATGATTGCCAGGACAAATTCCTGCAGTTTTTTGGCAAGATTTCAGAAGCGGATTACTGTTCCCTGCTTCCAAAAACGGAGAGAGAATGATTGGTCCAAGTTCATCCAGCTGAGTTTGTGGAACTCACTATCCCCTAGTTTCTAGCCTAACTAGTAAACCAAACTGACTTGTCTTAATCAGAATTATGCCATCTCAAAAATCACGCATCTATTTTGTCTCTAGTAACAAAAGTGATGTAACATAATGTTTGATACTTGCAAACTGAAGCCACATTTTTATGAAGTTTCCCACTATGATGATCTCTTGCAGAACAGTTGGTTTGAAGCAGTTATGAAACTTCATCCGCAATTAAGGTGTAACTACATATAATGAAGATTAAGCATAATTCAAATTTCCATATATACTGAATTATATCCATAATTCAAATTTCCTTACTGACCTGTTTGTTTTGTTGTTTTCCAAGGTTCTGCCACACTGCACCATTGGCAACAGCTTGCTCAGCCTCATCTAGGAGGCATCCTAGACCCAAGGCCTGGGGTTCTTACTAAGGGCTTCCGCACTCTTGATCTTGATCTGGATGAAGTGTATTGCCTTAATGATTTTGAAGAAGATGAGTCAGGTGAAATTACATACAAAGGCTTAACTACCTCAACACCAATTCAGCACACAGAGACCTCAGGTGAGAGGTCTCAGGCACGAGTGACTGTTTCAGATAGCAAGAATTACCCAAATCACTCTCAGTCTTTCCCAGAGGAGATGCAGAAACCTGCAACTGACAATGAGAGGTCTGGTGAGGGAATCTCATTAAATCCAGCACAACTGCCATGTTTGCAGGATTTTGATAACTGGGCCATTCTTACATCTCTCCAGAACAGCATCCATAATGTTGCTTCATGTTTAACTTCACAACACTGCACACAAGAATTAATATTAGCCAATTTCTGAACTGTGATTTCTAACTATTACTGGGTGGGAGTTTCAACCCAAAAGAAATGCATAATCTCTATTTTCTTCTTTAGTTTGATGAGAGAAGGCTGCTAAAAGGATGCAATTCATTGGGGTTCTCAGAAAAAAAAGAAGCCACTTGTTTTGGTTCTGGGTTTGTATGACTAGATTACAGTTTTGCAGATTGCTTTTCTCTTGGGATTTGTGTTCTAATGCTTATATTCTAAGATTATTTAATGTTTATCTAAAGACAAAGTAATTGAGAGTGGATGGCAGAATTTCAGCATTGTTATCTGTAATAAGAGGAGTTTCTTAAAATCAACCACTTTGTTTCTTAGGATAAAATTGCATATTGGCTTAAATAGTGTACATTTTTAATAACTGGAGGGGAGTTTGAGGCTAGAAGGCTTGCTATTAAAAATAATGCCTGATACAAAACTCTACTGGGATCAACATCCAAGTCATTTGGAGCACAGAGAAGCAAAAAGGTGTAAACTGCTAAGACTATATGTCAGTTCTTTCTCGCTAATATCTAGCTATGAGGAAAAAATAAAGCCAGATAGAATTGTTATATTTATATATATATATTGTTATATTTATATTTTTTCCTGCCAATTATGTTTTTGGATCCATCTGAGAAATATAGATATAGATATACAGATATATATTTAAAATAGTTAGAATTTTTTATTATCTATGCTAAGCAAGGTTATCTGCAGGATAAGGGTTAATTATGTTGCTAGAATTCAATGTAGTCCATGTTATATTCGCCGATTGGAAGAAGGCTCGGGAGTCAGTGACTGGGTTTCAGCTCTTTATTAGTCCCGAGATCGACTCGGGGTTCAGAAAGTTTGCGGCGGCTTATATTGCCTGGCCACGGCGGCCACGGCCAATGGCACCGCTTTAAATCTCCCGCGATTAGTTTCCACCAATCGCAGGGATTTGTGGCGGGCCAATCAGTGTGGCTCGCTCAGCCAATCAGGTTGCCGTGCGCCCTGGCCAATCAGGGCGCGGTGTTTACAAGTATGCTAATGGATCATACAGAACACCCCTCCCCTTGGTATGGTCCTACGTGACGTAGTCCCATAAGTAGGCGGGGCTCCGTACTTGCCTACTTGACCTGCACAGGTTAGTTGATGCCTGGCCTTCGGGCGGTTCGGTCGGGTTCTGTGCTGCTCTCTGCCTCGTAGATGGAACCACCTGGAAGGGTGAGCCGGGCCTTTCGTCGCAGCTTCCTCCCGGGCTGGTTGAGCTGCTGGTGTTGCCGCTCCCGTCCGGTCTTTCCGGGCTGGTTGAGCTGGCTTGGCTGTTTCTTCCCGGCGAGGCTTTGAGCTGGCTGTCTATTTCTGCTTCGGTTGGTGAGTATTCCTGGTTTCTTTCTGGTTGGGGTTGGTTCCCGGGGCTTTCCCTCCCCTCTTGGTTGGTGCTGGGGTGGTTCTTTTCCCTTTCTGGTTTTATGTGTCTGTCTGTTTGCGTGTTGGTTGTGTTTCCCATGGTTGTTCTCGATCTTATTTGATCGATGTGTCATTTCCATGCTCGTCCGTCGGTTGTTTGTAGCCAGTACGAGCGGGGACTTGTTGCCTGGGTTATCGTTGCCGGTATCCAGAGGGGGTCCCCTTTAAGGTTTTTTGCATATACCGCGTCTCCTGGTGTAAATGTTCGGAACCTGCTTGATGAGTCGGTGGGTTTTTCGGGGTTGTACGTGGGGTGCAGCCTATCTAGAGGGGATCTTAGTTTCCTCCCCATTAGTAGTTCTGCAGGGCTCTTGTTGGTCGTTGTGTTTGGTGTTATGTGTTGGATAAAAAGTAGTTTATTTATTTTCTCTTGCATGTCTCCGGTTTTGATTTTTTGAATTGTTTTTTTGGTGAATTGAACCATTCGTTCTGCCCTACCGTTCGCCGCCGGATGTGCCGGCGCTGTCAGGGCGTGCCGTATTCCCCATTCCGCTAGGAATTTTTCGAATTCCAGTGCGGTGAACTGTGGCCCGTTATCTGACACAATTACATCTGGGAGGCCGTGGGTTGAGAATAGTCTGTTGAGTTCTTTGATGACGGCCTCGGTGGTGGTAGTTCTCATGTCGCTTACCTCCAGCCAATTGGAGTAAGCGTCTACCATTATGAGGAATGAAATTTTCTCTACAAAGCCTAAACACAAATGAAACAGACTGAGAAGTGTTTCTTCTTGCTTCATTGCTCAGCAGATCTGTAGGCTACTTTATGACGTTGGGGGACAAAGAATGGTATGGATTCAGATTTTACAATGTGATCTATAAAACCCAAAACCCAATACATGGACAATTACCTGCATAAGTGCTTGATGACTTGGGAATTGGAGTAATACTGTATGATATTTGAATTAACTGATAGAATTTAAAATATTTTAGCATTTCAACTTCAGCATCATTCTGTCTTTTGATTTACATTAGCCCATGTTCAGATGTCCTATTTGAAAAACATCCTGATGCATTAAATAGAGAACGACAGGTGAAACTCGAAAAATTGTGCAAAAGTGCATTTATTTCAGTAATACAACTTAAAAGGTGAAACTAATATATGAGATAGACTCATTACATGCAAAGCAAGATAGTTCAAGCCGTGATTTGTCATAATTGTGATGATTATGGCTTACAGCTCATGAAAACCCCAAATCCACAATCTCAGAAAATTAGATTACATGCAATCAATAAAACAAGGATTGTACATAGAACAATATCAGACCTCTGAAAAGTAGAAGCATGCATATGTACTCAGTACTTGGTTTGGGCCTCTTTTGCAGCAATTACTGCCTCAATGCAGTGTGGCATGGAAGCTATCAGCCTGTGGCACTGCTGAGGTGTTATGGAAGACCAGGATGCTTCAATAGCAGCCTTCAGCTCTTCTGCATTTTTCGGTCTCATGTCTCTCATCTTTCTCTTGGCAATGCCCCAGATTCTCTATGGGATTCAGTTCAGGCAAGTGTGCTGGCCAATCAAGCACAGTAATCCCACGGTCATTGAACCAGGTTTTGGTGCTTTTGGCAGTGTGGGCAGGTGCCAAGTCCTGCTGGAAAATGAAGTCAGCATCCCCATAAAGCTCGTCTATGGAAGGAAGCATGAAGTGCTCCAAAATCTCCTGGTAGATGGCTGTGTTGACCCTGAACTTAATGAATCACAGTGGACCAACACCAGCAGATGACATGGCTCCTCAAATCAACACAGACTGTGGAAACTTCACACTGGACTTCAAGCATCTTGCAGTGTGTGCCTCTCCATTCTTCCTCCAGACTCTGGGTCCTTGGTTTCCAAATAAGATGCAAAAGTTGCTCTCATCAGAGAAGAGGACTTTGGACCACTGAGCAACAGACCAGTTCTGTTTTCCTTTAGCCCAGGTAAGACGCTTCTGATGTTATTTGTTCTTCAGGAGCAGCTTGACAAGAGGAATACGACATTTGAAGCCCATGTCCAGGATCCGTCTGTGTGTGGTGGCTCTTGATGCACTGACTCCAGCCTCAGTCCACTCCTTGTGAAAGTCCCCAACACTTTTGAATGGCCTTTTCCTGACACTCCTCTCCAGGCTGCGGTCATCCCTGCTGCTTGTGCATCTTTTTCTTCCACACTTTTCCCTTCCACATAACTTTCTATTAATGTGCTTTGATACAGCACTTTGGGAACATCCAACTTCTTTTGCAATTACCTTTTGAGGCTTTCCCTCCTTATGGAGGGTGTCAGTGATGGTTTTCTGCACAACTGTCAGGTCAGCGGTCTTTCCCATGATTGTGATTCCTACTGAACCAGACTGAGAGGCCATTTAAAGGCTCAGGAATCCTTTGCAGGTGTTATGGCTTCATTAGCTGATTAGAGTGGGACTCTTTGAGCCTAGAATATTGAACCTTTTCACAATATTCTAATTTTCTGAGATTGTGGGTTTGGGTTTTCATGAGCTGTAAGCCATAATCACCTCAATTATGACACATCACGGCTTGAACTATCTTCCTTTGTATGTAATGAGTCTATCTCATATATTAGTTTCACCTTTTAAGTTGCATTACTGAAATAAATGAACTTTTGCACGATATTCTAATTTTTTGAGTTTCACCTGTATTTTTCTTTGGTTGACAGCCAAAGCATAGAAAGACAAATCATACCATATAATAGTATACCATGTAACCTGTGACTTTTGCAGTATTTTTGGATCCAGTATTGAGTATAAAAAAATATGGTTTGCATCATGATATGTTTTTGTCATAGCTGTGGATTCCTATGTCTGATAATTGAAACAGATACCAGTTTTCTTTTAAAATAAGTAATCTGAAGGGAAACATTTTTCCACACTGGATATAACATGTTCCTAATTCTGATTGATTACCATTCAAGAGCTGGATTTCAAGCTGGATTTCTGTAAATGTAATAATGAAAATGATTTTCTTAAGTGTTATTTTGTCTTTTTACATTTGGCATACATTTTATACATAGAATTTAGAACTCTTATGAAAATGCAGTTATGGGATGGGAAATTCTTACTGAAATCTGAAACAAAATTTATGTGCTATAACTTTGGTAACTTCCAGTCAATTTTGATATATGAATGAAAGAAGAGGTTATTTTATTTAACAGCACTGTGATTTTCTGCAAAAAAAAAAGAGAATTTGAGAAATCATTTGGTGGCTAGAGAAAAAGACAGTCCTTTTAACATACATTTAGATTTTTTTCAAAATAAATAATAACAAAACCTCATTGTTGATCACATATTATCCTTTTATATGTTGGACCAAATAACTTTGAATATTGTTGAAGATTGTATTGGAATTAAAGCATGATATTCTTTTCATTTTTGAATTGTTAGAGATACTGATCACTTACAGGCCATTCACGGTTTCCTGACAGAGAATACTGTAGCCTTATGAAAAGCTGATTACTGGAGGATGCTGTCCATGTTTCTCTGAGTGGTATCTTTGCAGGATTAGTCTTTATAGATGTTAAAAAAATATTTCTCTTTCATAGTCAAGAAAGCTCACCTATTAGCCTCAATTGCTACATTTAGCAGCCTTTTCCTATCTTGTATATTAATAATAATGAGCTCAGTCTATTTTATTGCAACAGTTTTCTGCTAATATAATTCCTTAGTGAAAGAAAAACAGTGTTTTGATGAAATGGGTAATGCAGATATGGAGATATTGTAGGTTAAAGCTTTTATATATTCTGTGAATAATTGTTTAATCTAAAATTTTCATACTTTTTTATTCTGCTATTATTTGTTGTCTAACACTGAGCTACTCTTTTTCTTTTAAATTTAGCTTTTCTCTCCATATAATATATTTCCATTATTGATTATTTGAGATTTTCTCAAATATTTTAAGCTGGTTACACTTGCACAGAGTCATGATTGCTATAACCCTTAAATATAATTGTTTGCACAAATCCTTGAAGCAGCAGTATCACGAGTTTTTAAGGTGATATAAATAATTTTTGAACAATGATACTGTATTAGTGTATTAGCCATCATTGAAAAATGCAGACTAATACCTAACATGAAATGGGGATGATTTTTTTTTACTGTCACCTCATTATATTAACAGTTTTTAAAAATTTCCATATTTCATATGCAGTAACTCTTTTCACGTAATTATCATCATTATATGATTATTTTGCTGCCAGCTTTACAGGAAATATAGCCACAATAAGCATGTAGTTTTCTCAGCCTCTCTAAATTTAAAAAGATTTTGTAAATGTAACCAGGTTACATATCCTATCATGGATAAACAATATTTTAAAAGGTAGTCACATCATGTGGCTAAATAATCACAGATATATTTCTTGTACAATCATGATAATGTATTGAAGATTTTTAATCTCACCTGCAATCATGATGACTTTGCAATTGTACTTAATTTTGGATTGCTTATATGACTGTTGATGGATGCATGGTATTTTCAGTTTGTGAACTGATTTGCAATCGGGGCTATCCATAAAGTATGTCATATTTCAGAAGTGGAAAAAATGGCATGATTAAACAATCTATGATACTGAAAACAGAAAGAATAATATTGACAAAAACATGGTGCTTTTCCCATATTTGCCTATGATCACAAGAGGTCATCAGATGCTTTTCATTTTTTGGTTCTGCTTGCAATTTACACAGGCACATCCATTTTCCTTAATAATCCTTCATTCCCCAATACTCATAATGTGTTTGATAGGGTTGAAATCCATGCTTATTTTTTCTTATATCCATTTCATTTTTCGGTGTTCTACTTAGTAGTTGTATATTATCCTCACTCTATGCAATGCTTATGGGTTTTTGTTAGAGATTTGCAGCAATAAAAGTTATACTAATTACACTAAAATAAATTAGAACTTTAAAGCAATATAATTTGAAGGAACAATGCAGATCAGTTGGTAGCAATAAAAACAGTATTAAATATTAATAAAAGATATTCCTTCAATGTAGAGAAAAGTAAAGTCCTACACTTAGGCAAGAAAAACCAAAAGTACACATACAGACTGGGTGAAACCAGGCTCAATAGCAGTAACTGTGAGAGAGATCTTGGAGTCTTAGTGGACAACCAGCTAAATATGAGCCAGTAGTGTGCAGTAACAGCCAAAAAAGCTAATGCTCAAGTGAGCTACTAACACCACTCTATAAAGCCTTAGTAAGACCACATCTAGGGTACTGAATCCAGTTTTGGTCACCACATTATAAAAAAGATGTTGAGACTCTAGAAAAAGTACAGAGAAGAGCAACCAGGATGATTAGGGGACTGGAGACTGAAACACATGAAGAACATTTACAGGAACTGGGCATGGCTAGTCTAGTGAAGAGAAGGACCAGGGCAGACATGATAGCAGTCTTCTAATATTTGAGGGGCTACTACAGAGAGAAAGAGGTCAAGCTATTTTCTAAAGTGCCTGTAGGTCAGACAAGGAATTCCAAGCTTTGTAGAGATGATTTTCAGGAATATAATAAATTCCATTATATTATTTTCAGTGCCTCTTATTTCTTTCCAATTTGGCTAAATGTATATTTTTTCCCCTTGTAACATGAGAATATATAGAATTTTAATTGAGGAGGTGATTTTTTTAAGATGATGTACTTTATGGTCTGTTTAGCTTTGCATTATACAGTTGCATCCTATAGCAATTTGTAAATACAAATTTGGATCTTGTATGGTTCTATAATCTGTTTTGTTGCAGTACCACAAAAATAAGCTATTTATCTTATATTCAGCTATTCAGATAGTTTTATTAATTGATTAATTTAATTGCTATCTGGTACAGCAGATGTTTTGTTTGTGTTTCAGATGGAGGTGGAAAATAAATGCTGCAGATGGGCAATAGTGGATCCATAATAGTTACGCTGAATACAAAAATAATATATAAAAAGTGATCCAAAGCTACTTGTATGTGGCAAAGATATATGAACCTCTAGATTATCAATTAATTTGAAGGGGAAATTATAGTCTGCACTTTCAACCAGGTATGAGTATAGTACATCCTACCTTATGTTTGGAAGTGTTTCATAGCTTGAACAAAGGAGATATCTAAGGACCTCTGAAAAACACAGATTGTCCACAGATTACAATACTGTCTCTAAAGGGTTTAAACTTAATCAGTCCTCTGTCAGGCAGATTGAGTACAAATGGAGGCAATTCAACCCCATAGTTACCCTCCTCAGGGTAATGGTATAAAATATTCTGTCTCAAAGAACCCCAGGTAATATCTGAGGAATTAAAGGCTTTTCTTACACAGAGAATGTCAGTGTTGATGAGAACAACATAAGAAGAACACTGAACAGCAATAATGTGCATGACACGGTTGCAAGGAGAAGGCCACTACTCTCCAAAAAAGATTATTGCTGCCCATCTATAGTTTGCAAAAGACCATGTGGATAAGTCTGAAGACTACTGGAAAAATTATCTTCAGCAAAAGGCACATCCTGCATTCCAGCATAAGAACTTTAACCCACCTGTGAAATCTAGAGCAATATCATCAAGCTTGTTCTATGAGAAGCGAAACGTCTTTAAAGAAAAACAAGGAAGTCCAGTTGCCTATTGAAAAAGCAACTTTGGGGAAAACCATGACCTGAATGACTGATAATCTCCAAAGACAAAGAATGGTTAAAACAGGAAAGTTAGTATTTAGGAATGATCAGATTAAAGACCGTAGTCTTAGAGAAATGTAGGAGGAATTGAAATGGGCAATTCATGCAAAGAAGCCCATCAGCACCCCTAATTTGAAGCTGCTCTGAAAGGAGGAATAGGCTCAAATTCCTGCAAGCTGATATGTTTAATTGATGCTAACACTGCCTGAGAACAGCACACTGAAAAGTTAAGTTCACATAGTTTTGCCACATACAAATATGTAGCTTTGGATCATTTTCCTCAATAAATCAATGAACAAATATAATGTTTTTTACTCATTTAATTTGATTCTCTTTATCTAGTTTCAGGACTACCTTGGAAAAATGATTGTGTTTTAGGTCATATTTATACAGAAATATTACAAATTCAAAAAGGTTCACAAACATTTAAGCACCATACTATGTACTATCATTTTTGTATCCTAAAATTTATTGTCTCTGGATCCATTACTGAATCAAGGTGATGGGATATATCTGCCTGGATCAATGTAAAAGAAACTGAAATGTATGAGTTCTAAGATATTGCACATTTTTGTTAAGAGTTTATTATATCTTGCCCATAAAATAAACCTGCTAATACAGATTAAGATATTATATCTACTTCTTACAGAATTAGCATTTACCACTTCTTTGTCCCCATAATTGCTAATAATGTAGCAATAAGATCAAATAGATAGCATTTGGATTGTTTAGAATTGGGACAATTTAGCATGATAATTACATTGTTGCCTTTCCTAAGTGATATTTTATACTATTGGAAATTACCATGCCAGAGTAATAAGTAGAAGTAACACTTCTTGCTATTGGCTACCCTAAACTGAGGTGGTATTCAGCAGGTTCTGACCAGTTCTAGAAAACCGGTAACGGAAATTTTGAGTAATTCAGAGAACCAGTGATTACCTTCCCCCAGGAATGGGGAGGGAATTGAGATTTTACTGTATCCTTCCCCAGGAGTGATGTGGGAATGGAGATTTTATAGTATCCTTCCCCTGCCATGCCCACCATGCCACACCCACCAAGCCATGCCACGCCCACAGAACCGGTAGAAAAAAAATTGAACCCCACCAATGACCCTAAAGCATTTGTATCTGCTGAGAGTCCTTACAGTAACGGCTGTCCCAGTAAAACAAAAGATGTGATAAATAAGACTCTTCTCATAGATATTAATATATCAGAGGAGCTAGATAATAAAGAGATTTAGAAATATCGGATATTTATTGCACAGATCACAAGTAAAGTATAATATCACTTTTCCATCTGTTAGTTTGAGAATATAAAATTCTTTTAATATATAAATACAAATAATGTCCTCTCTTTTTAATGTAGTACATCATCCTGGGAAGTGCATGTCACAAACCAATTCCACATTTTCCTTTACCACTTGCCGTATTCTACATCTTTCCAACGATCTCACACGAGTTACACCAAGGTAAGGGTTTTCAGAAAGGTGTTTTAGTTTCTAAATGTAAAGAAATGTTAAGTGTAGTCAAATAAGCAAGATGAGTTTAATAATCATGTTTGACACTGTCTTAATTTAACTTACATATATGCATCCATCCAGAATCTGTAAACTTGTTTTAGTTTATGTACACCCGGTACAAGTAAAATAACCTAGGATGTCACTCTTTTAATCCATGATGTTCTAACTAAAATATTTTTAAAAAATATTCTTATGCTGTTGCAATTCACATTGGAAGAGTAATAGAAGATGCCTATTTCCCGTTCTTGTTCACCCCCTTTTATTGCTTTTGTTACTTCTTCTTTTCTGGCTGTGTTCCTGTTGCAGGACAAAAATTGTAACTTCTCTGAACTCTCTCCCTGATGCATGTTTGAACGGCTGTCATTATTGCATACATACATATGAGGAACTGGACCAATATATATATATATTTTCTGAGGTTTTCACGGGTATTTGTATGTGGATCTTTGGTTATTCGGGTTTTCTCCTGCATAAAATTGGAAGTATCTAGGTGATGTTTCGATGAAGTCTCATTCAACATCTTCAGGCTTGTGTCTTCGGCTTAGTGCTTCTCGGAGTAATGTGAGCTTGCAGCTGCTTCTTCCTTTTAACTGCTAGTGGGGGTGTGACTTGATTGGGTGGGGGCTTGGCTGTGTTCTGATTGGGTGGGGGTGTGTTCGACTTCATTGAATGGTCACCTAGATACTTCCAATTTTACATGGGAGAAAACCCGAATAACCAAAGATCCATATATATATATGTGTGTGTGTGTGTGTGTGTGTTTTCTTAAGTTTTCGCGGGTACTTACATGTATGGTATTTGGGTTTGTTCGGGTATTTTCCCACGTCATTATAGTTGTGCTTTTAAAGTTGTAGCGACGTTTCGGCAGAATCTCATCTGCCATCATCAGGCTTCTGTGTTGTGTTCGTCTGTGAGTCAGGCTTTCACAGCCGTTTTAAATTTGGGGCTAGCCTAATATATATATGCAGGTCTTGGCGTGTTCGGGTCTTTTCCCATGTGAGATTGAGAGTATCTTGGCGATGTTTCGATGAGGTCCCACTCGCCATCTTCAGGCTGGTGCTTTCGGCTTCGTGCTTGTATGAGCAAAGCGTGATCGGAGCAGCCATCTCTCTATAAATACCGGTGGGGAGGTGTGGTGTGCTGGCTCTGTTGTAAGCGGGCTGGTTGGCTGTGTTGTTATTTCTTGATTGGTTGATGGAGTTGATGTTTGCAGATTGGTTGGCTTTTTCATAAGAACATGTGTGGCTGAGGTACTGGCTGTGGGTCTATCAGCCTCCTGTGTTGTAACGACCTGGGTAATGGGCTGTGTGATGACCTTCTGAGTTCTATTGTTGTGACATCCTGGATCTTGTGCTGTAATTTCCTGGGTCGTTGGCTGTGTTGTAACTTCCTGAAGTTTTGTGGTGTAACCTCCTGAGTTCCGTGATGTGATATCCTGAACGGGTGGCTGTGATGTGATGTTCCGGGTTTTGGTTTGGCTCTGAGCTTGAGGTCTGGCTATGTGTTCATGGCGTGTGTCAGTTTGCTTAGTTTGAGGGTCGAAGGGTGTGGCAGCTGGTGATGCAGCCATGGTCTGTTTTCTGGATGGTGGTTGCCTTTTGTCTATGGAATGGGTTTGGGTTTGAGTCTGGTGAGGGAGATTGGTGGTGGTGTCATGTGTTGTTTTGGATCCGGTGTTGGTTTTCATGGCTGGGACTCGTTTGTTGATAAGGGCTAGTTTCCAGATGTCTGATAGGCAGGAGGTATCATCCCGTTTATTCATGTTATGGGGGTGTTTATTTCGATGGCTTCCCTGATTATTCTCTTGTTGAAGTGTTCAGTATTGGAGATTAATTTGGTTTTCATGTCCTGTGGCTTTAAGGTGCTGGAAAAGGGAGGAAGTATTTTCTTCTTTTCTGACTGCGTTCTTGTGTTCTGCAATGCGTGCATTTATTCTCCTGTTGGTTTGTCCAATGTATGTGGATAGGCAATTGTTGCATGGCATTTCATAAACTCCTAGCTGGATCTTGTCCTTGGGGTTTTGTAGGATGTTGGCTATTTTGGGGTCAGTGTCGAAGGCTGTCTTGATATTGTGTTTGTGGAGAATTTTGTAGGGGAGGAGGGTGATACCATTGTCCTGTTCTGTGTCTCAGTTTTTTGGGGGCGTCTCCCTTAGGATTAGGTTGGTAATTGTGTTTCTTTGGAATCCATTGGAAATTAATACATTAGTGAGGGTATGTAATTCTGTTCTCAGGTGGTCTTTGTCGGCTAGGCATTTGGTTCTGGAGATGAGGGTCTTGGCTACGGAGTTGATCTGTGCAGGGTGGTGATGGGATTGTGCATTTAAGTAGCGATTGGTGTGTGTTTTCTTCCGGTGGATGGTGTGTCCTAGGGAGCCATTGATTTTTTTGTAAATTAGGATGTCCAGGAAGGGAAGTTGGTTGTTGGCTTCTGTTTCCATGGTGAATTGGATTTTGGGGTGTAGGCTGTTGAGATGTGTAAGGAAGTTGTCCAGTTTGTCTTTCCCGTGTGGCCAAATTACGAAAGTATCATCTACATATCTGAGCCAGAGTTTGGGTTTGTGTTTGGATTTGTCTAGAGCGTTGGTTTCAAAGTGTTCCATGTATAGGTTAGCTATGATGGGTGAGAGGGGTGATCCCATAGGTGCTCCTTCTATCTGTTTGTATCTTTGTCCATTGTGGATGAAGTATGTGTTGGTTAGTCAGATCTAGGATGTGCTTAGGGGGGTTGTATTTGTTTTGGATAGTTGTCAAGGCTTCTTTAATAGGTACTTGGGTGAAACTGACACACACCATGAACACATAGCCAGACCTCAAATTCGGAGCCAAACCAAAACCCGGAACATTACATCACAGCCACCCGCTCAGGATATCACATCACGGAATTCAGGAGATTACACCACAAAACCTCAGAATGTTGCAACACAGCCAATGACCCAGGAGATTACAGCACAAGACCCAGGATGTCACAACAATAGAACTCAGAAGGTCATCACACAGCCCATTACCCAGGTTGTTACAACACAGGAGGCTGAAAGACCCGAATACGCCAAAACCTGCATACATACATACAAACATACATATATGGTGCCGTTGAAGTGAATGCTATGACCTTTGGCTTTCATATTTTGGACTAGTGAGGAATTGCACCAAAACTGTAGCTACTATAGAAAACCCCGGCTGCAGAATCATCAGAGAAGCCATAGAAATTGGTAAAAGATCTAGTAGTATGAATAGAAGAGATGACTCCACCAGACTATCAATCATCTGGAAGCCTGCACTCACAAACAAACAAAGTATCTATACCATAATCCAGGCAAGCACCTGGACACAAACAGACACCCCTAATACCTCCAGCTCAAGCACGTCTCAGCCAGCTACCCAAATAAAACCTAGCTTCCTAATAAATAATTATCGGCCATTCACAAGAAACCAAGCTGCACTAAGAAACCCCAATGCACAAAACACAATGTTGCCAACCAATCAAGAACACAGCAACTCGAAGACCAATAAAAACAGATCTAGACTCCCAGCCAATCAGGATGAGGGAAAAACCATTCAAATAAAGCAGAAAGCCAGCACCAAATTCAAACAAAAAATGGCTGCCAAGCCTGACACACAAGATTAAAAAGAACCCAATACACAAGCCTGAGGATGGCAGATGAGATTGTGCCAAAACATCACTACAATAAAAGCACAAATATTAAGACGTGGGAAAATAGCCGAAGAAACCTAAATACCATACATATACATGTACATGTACATATACATATACATATATGTTGTGGCTCCGGGTTTGGATTCTGCTCCTGTGGCAGATATGAGTT